TGATGGGGAGAAAGCTTAAAAGATACAAAATACCTGCAAGCTGTCTAAAGAGGAAGCACAGAAAGAGAGAGGTTATGTAGGTTATCCACTGAGAAAAAGGCTGCACTGTGAGCCAGACCTTTCCTGGACACCAAGTCATCTACTCTTAAGGCTTCTCTCACTTCCAACGGATCATTTAAAGCATCCCAAGAATTTGCTCCATGTGGGCTCTGATGCCTGATCAGGGCTGTGGCCACAATGCAACATTTAAAAAAACCCAAACCCTTCTAGATCAATGAACCAGAGCCTCAAACACATGGAAAATCAGAATTCATTAAATTCTTTACCCATACAGGTCCCTATTAGAGGTTTTTTTAATCAAAACAAAAATCAGCAAACAGCAATTTGAACAATACAGTGTGGAATGTTGGCTCTTGGCCTCTGCCAACACATCACTTCCCGGAGCTTCTCTGTGTCTCCTCCTGTCTATTTACTGAAAACAGCACTGAAAGGACTCACTTAAGAAGATGGTACAAAATCCAGCCCTCACTCCAATCAAGGTCTGTCGTCCTGTGGCTGAAAGATGGATAGTCAGTGTAAAAGGGAGGGTCTGTGCCTCTCGAAAGAAAGCAAATTTCTATTAATGCAAGAGGCTGCAAAAGCTGAGAAGCACAAGGTCGGGTCAAACTCAGACAGCACCCAAACAGCATCCCTACTGCTCTCCACCAACCCCCATTCCAGAGTTACACTGGATCACAGGGAAGGATTGGAGGTTGAAAGCTTGAGATGGGATGTGATGGGGACTGAGTAGCAATTTCCTCTGACTGTATAAGTATAGATCACATATTAGATGTATACTGACACCCTGGCATCTTCTATGGATGAGTGGTTCCAGGGACAGTGATGATCACACCTGTAAAAGGCACAGGACCTGTCAGCTCTCTGTGAAGCAAATGCTATTATTCCTTCTCATACCAGGTATCCAGCAGCCAGCAGGAAACTATTTGATTGTGCTCACTACTTACCTGAGAAACTTATGAAATGGAGGCTGGGTTGTAACAGGTTTTTCAGTTCACTGTCCATTCCTAAAGCCCAGCCAATGAAAAGCAATTTTATTTTTATACTGCCCTGACATCCAGTTCCTCAGCATGGTACACACACTACTCTGGCAAGGAGCTGATAAGAAATTTGTACACCAGTGCATGAAATGAAAATGAAACAAGGCTGAAATTCATCCAGCAAAACAGGAGTCAACTCAAGGGCTTGTTGGATGCATGAGAAGATGCATTTGATACCTTGAGTCACAGAAAAGCACAGATCACGTGTAATTAAAACCTGCACAACAGAGTTTATGCCTGTCAGCCCCAAAGTATCACCATCACTAGGTTCTGCACCTCTTTGAAGAGAATAAAAGGTTCCCTTTGACTATGACAGCAGCAGTTGTTGTGTTGGAAGCTTGTGTAGCACTGGCTGCTTTCAAGCACGTGATTGGTTTTAAAGGTATTGAATATTTTTATATGACAATCAAAACTCAATCACAAATGTGTTTCTTTTGGGAATAATTATTATTTTCACTGAGTACTATGGTTGGAGATCACGAGGAGATGGAAAGGAAAATGTAAAGTTTTGGCAGAGGCTTTTGAAACCCTGCAAGGACTTGCTGGGTAACTGCTGCTACTGTACAGGGGACAAAAATTGCTCTTCAGAACTCAAAGGGGCCCTTCACAGAGAGGCACTGGAGGAGAGCCCAAGAACTACTTCTAGCAGCAATTAATATCAGCTGCTATACACAAATAGAGCTTGCAGAAGAGTTTGCTGGCATAAAAAACTACATTTTAGACTGATAATCATTCATTTATCTGTTGCACCTTTTTAATTCCATCGCTTTGATTTTCATAACGCGTTAGGTGTGTTTTGACTTCCCGCTTCATTTGTTCTGTTTGTGGTCACCTGAACAGTCGTATTCATCAAAAGTGGGTTTAGAAAGGGGTCGTGTTCAGCAATAAAATAATAAAAGTTTTGGAGAATGATAGGTTTTACCACCTCTGTGCCACCGCCCCCCAGCAATTTCTCCATCTTCCTGTCTTATCCTATCTCCCGAAATACATGAAGCACAGCCTAGAATTGCATTTTAGCAGCAGGTTGGAGTAATAGATGCTACAAGGAACAGTGACATTCCTGGTGCGTGGTGTTCTGTGCACCACAGGGAGCTGCAATCTCACTTTGTGTGCCTTATGGCAAGCCATAAATTCCTGGCTTTATGTGCTGATGTAAAAACCCGTTTAACAAATCCATTGGAGCAGACTGCCTGGATCAATGTTATGACAGGCAACAGACTCCCCATAGCATTCCTGTGAGAAAATATCCACACATCTTGATTCACAGGTATATATTAATTTAATATGTTCATGAGAGCACATGTTAGAAGGAATTCCTGTTTCCATCTGCAGTGAGTGAAAGCTGTTGTATCCATACAGCAGCTGAATAAAAGGGCAAATGCTGTTTCCAGCACAGCTGCCCTGAGCAAAGTTTGTGGGCAGCTAGTGACACATAACAGCATTCTCCTCAAACTCAGAATGTTCTGTATAGTTAATGCTATTTTTTTTCTTTTTTTTGCCAGAATCCAGCATATTTTTAAGGGTGGAATTCATCACTGCTCTTGGACACTCAGAGAGACAAGAGGGAAATACAGATGAAACACATTGATAGCTTTGAGAGACAACTAAGCAGGAATCATCCTGAACCATAACCAAGCAGTACACTACAATTTTATCACTAAATGTACAAAGAAATACTAGGAAAATCATCTCATTGTGGTGAATTTAAATGTGTGCATGCCTGCATGCACCAAAGAGGGCCTTTGATGTGAAGGCCCTTAGACAGATAAGGAAAATATGAGGAATGGACACGCCCTAACAACTACACATACTGAATATGTAGATTGTTTTATCACTTGGTGGAGGATATTATTAAAACATAGTTAGCTACAGCTATTCAGGCCTCATGCCATAAATTTTACAATTGCTTTGTGTGCACAAACTTTGACTGACAGTTGTTAATCCAAAGCACCAAAGGATCTTGCAAAAATCATGAGGTTTGAGATATTCAGAGGAAATGTACACAAGTATTAATGATTAATCGCTCAACAACCAGCCCACAGAAACACAGAGCTGACACAAGAAGAACAAAAACTACTCAAAATTAGTTCAATATAACAGTGCTTGCAGAAAAGTGCTGGGAGTTGAAGGACAGTCCCAAATGTATGCAGAGTATCTGAGAATTAAATAAATATGCCTTTTGCACTTGCTGCAATGAGGAAAAAAAAAAAAAGTATGATCTTTATCCGAGTGCTCAACATTTCTCTGCTTAGAAAAAAGTCTTAAAAGCCCTGGTTTTCTGGTGGATTTAGCCTCAGGAATAAGGCTTGGAGAGAACTTTCATCTTTGTCGCAAACCCTGAAGAGGTGTGACCTTGTCATTTATAAAGCCAGAGAGCACATTAGAAGGAGAACTACCATGGCTGTAGAAGAGGCTGTGAAGGTGCAGTGGAACAAGCCTTGTAAAGGTGAAAGTGCATGAGGTGAGAGCATTTCCTCAAAACTAATCATCTCGAACCAAAGCAACGCAAAATTCAAAGCCAGGACTTTTCTCCACCATGTGAGAGTCAGGTGGGTTTTTCTGCCTGAGAGAGCATGCACGTTATTCAAGCAACTTTCAGAAATGTTGCATTCACTGCCAGCAGATTATCCACCTAAGCAAGCAGTTCCTTGTTTCAGATGTCATTTGGTTCAGCACATAAAACATTCAGTGAGGCCAAGACTCAACATGGAAATTAATGCACAATCCAGGGATAATTGTGTGCTGATGGCTTGAAATGAAATCTTCTGCTAATAGAGAATACTGGTACTGTCCATGAAATGAAATGCCTTCCCCAACACCATTTAACCATTGTCCCCAGCGCCAGCCAGGCTTGTCCTTCGCCTGACAGGAATTAAAGTCTTAAATTAATTGTTGTAATGATAATCCAACTCTTTGCCCAATTACACTGTTGCTTGAATCATTAGGGTTCTGATGAACTGGAAAACTGCACTGTGGAAGCCTAAAATTTCCCAGCTGCAGGTTCTCAAACAGTCCAAGAGGAGAGGAAAAAGAGACATAAAACAATTATGTTATTGCAGTACTACAGTGCATTGCAGTCAGGAAGCTTTTAGCCAGCAGAGCCTTTCCAGAACCAAGGATAGATTGCTGCCTTCACCAATTTCTCTCCTGCTTTCCTGTCTTCAGGTACAGGAGATGAATCCACATGTACAACTTGCTCAACCATACCTACCAATCTAATAAAGTGAGCAGCAAACTTCCAGTGCTTTTGTTTTGTGCTAATGTATTCCCATTTCCTGTGCAAAGCAATTTATTCAGCATGAACAATTTGTAATAACCTACAGTACGTGTTCTGTGCTACATAAGTCTTTTCATATGTAATTAATATTTTATTAAATTTTTAACATTAAATTACTTTCCTTACCAAATAAAAGATTATATTTTCCAGTTCATGGATGCAAATCTACTGATAAATAATGTAAGAAATGTTAAAATATCAACAGATATCAGTTTACTACAAAATAAATTACTTACTTCCCTAGAGAATGTTTAATCTCAATTATTGCTCACAGAAAGCACACACCACTAACAAGCAAGCCAAGAACAATCTCCTTTCTGAACAGTCAATCTACTGCAAACATGTTTGATAACTAAACTGCAATATATTCCTAATAACTTCACCCCAATCCTGCTCCTAGGAATAGGGAATTCACAAAGCTGTTCAGCTCCTTCATTTCAACTCTTTCTGTTTGCCCAAGAGGAAAACAGGTACCATGGGGAACATCCAAGGGAATGATGCAAATCCTACCTTTGTGGTCACTGTCAGAGCTTGCACGCATCACAGTTAGTTTGGCACCTGACTTCTCAACTCCACTGGAAGTGTTCAGGGCCAGTTTGCAGCAAATCATGGCAGGGGTTGAAACTAGACAATCTTTAAGGTCTCTTCCAAACCAAACCAATCTGTGCTTTCATAGGCTTCTGTAACATGATTGGAGGTGCTTCAAAACTCAAATATGGGCAGGATAAGGTCGTGCTGAGCTGACAGCTATTGCATTCACTCTCCACATAGTGTGGCAGAAGCAGCAGATAAGCTTTTGGACAACTACTTTACAGGTAAATCATTCACCAGCTCCCGAAAAAGGCCACAGGGTTCTAGGCCTTCCTTACCCAAAAGGGATTGACTCCACCAGACCCACAGTCCAGAAGAGCCCTGTAATCACTGACTAAGAGGCTGCTTACATTTATGTTTTTGATATGTCATAAATGAAGGAAGGGATGTAAAATCTGATGGGTAGGTGGGTGGAGTGTCTCACACACTCAAAGTTCACTGCAGTGTGATGTCCTGCTGGCCAACCAAGTTTGAGGGTAACAGCAGACAAAGCACAGCCCAGGTCTCTTGGTAGAATAGGTGCTGTCATCAGCTTTGCCAGTGCTCTACAGTTTATCACAGAAGCGATAAGACAACTTAACACTTCCAGGCTTCAGTGGAACTAGTGCAGCCTGACAGTATCTGACAGTATCAGTTGCTTTATTCTCCATGTTCAATGGGATAGAAAATGAGAGCATTGCTGTCACCAAAAGAGAAAATTAGTACCAACACAGAGCAAGTGCCAGGTCTATAATGACTGTACACAGATGTTACCGGAGTAAACTTGAGGAAAATATGATAAAGGCTGAACAATCAGCCATCCCCCATTGGGTGAAAATATTCGGAGGAGCTGGTTGAGTGGGAACATGTGCAAAATGAGTGAATCGTGCATGGACCCCAGATGCACGAGAACATCTGTGATGATGGTGCTGGCATTGAGAACTACTTGCATATTCATGCTGTCATTATCACCCCTGCTTCTGTGCAGCTCCTTACTGCACAGAAGAGCTACAACTCTCATATCTACAGACAACAGCTCCCAGATCATTGGGACATCCAGTGAACAGCAACATCCTCGGGTTTGATCAGGGCAAAACAAGTTAGAACACAAGTAGGCAAACTACTTAGCAATTCCAGCATTGCAGCTACACAAACCTGTTGGTGGCCATCTTGGCCCCCGTTTGTGATTGTCTTTCACTACCACAAGCAGAAAACATCAGCCTTTAGAAGCTTCACAAGCTGTCCCAAATCACATTTCTCTAAGGGTCAGAGTTTGTGTGTTGGTGCAGTGTGTCGTGCAAGGCCATTTACACTCATGGTCGAAACTCCCCTCAGCTTCCAGAGTAGAAGCATAAAGGTGTTTATGCTTTAAACAAACCAAACTCTTTGTCTTTGCAGGTGCAGGAGATGAACTGGATTGGTTTGAGTGTAACTGTACAAGACTGAGCATGGTCAGTGCTACACTGGGTCAGGTCCCTCGACTCGGAGCTGCAGGGGATGGGCACCTTGCCCTAATGGCCACTCAGGCCTGCACCACAAATAATTGCAATCAATTAGAAAAAGAATAATAAACCACTGTGTGATACAGAGAGGTCATGAAAACAGTTGTAGAGCTTGCCTGGAAATAAACTCCTCATCTCTCATGTTCTTACAGGTGTAACTGTTCCTTCCCTTCTGCTGCCTGTTAATCCTTGTGCAGATCTGTGTTATTTGTATGAGATGAATTATAGAATGAACTCCACTCCCACTGTTTGTGTCTCTGCTATCATCTACATTTTCTAATGTAAGCTGACATATGATGACAAAGCTGGGGAAGGGTTTCTGTCTACATCAGGTCAAAACCAAACCATACCACCAGCTATTGTATGACACATATATCCCAGCCACTGCTATCCTGTGCTGCCTCTGACCAATTAGCTACTGTCACACACTTCTATGCTCTGAAAATGATATTAGGAGTTTTGGACTTGTAAGCTCAGTGCTGCAGCAGCTACTGCACCTCCTAAATTAACATTTATTTGCTCTGGCCATAACCTTTTGACACAGGTAACACACAGAGGCAGCCAAGGGGGCACGCTAATATACTGGAATGGAAATTAAGAACTAAACATAACCTTTTAGTAAGTAAATAATCTATATAAAAGCAGAGGGATGACCCTGCCTGCCTGATGCAGAAGAGTGAGCTGCTAAACCAAGTCTGTGATGGAAGACAGAAAGCAGAATGACTATTATTAATAAATAACTTCTTTCCCCCAAACTCAACAAATGACAACATGTATTATGCAACTGTTTCTTTTTCCTTAAAGCTAACCTCTGAGAATATATAGTCAGTGCATATATAAAAATGGTTATATAAATTTGGATTTGTTACATGGGGGTATAAACTGGAGTATGAGGAGCAGCATATCAGGTGGTTAATACAGGTATTAGTGCAACTTTAAACTGATTTACATAGTTCAGACTGTACTGTGATGTTTGTTTGCTTCTAGATTTTTGCATGGAAATTTTTGACTCCTTACATAAAGGTTGTTCTTTTGTTATTTACCACTTAGTTAATGAAAATGTTATGTATCTAAAACAGAAAACATCCAAGCTCAAAATAGTCAAACTGCAGCACACCAGGAGCACTGAGGGACCCCATCCCACACGACTGCCAGCTTTATCAGCACCCACGTTGTATAGCTGAATTTTGCCAGGCACTATATCATAATTTACTGAATCTATTGCTATCCAGAGAAAAAAAAAAAATCATGTTATGTCAGCTGCAGGCAAACTTGATGAATTAGAGGCTCCAAAGCTTTTCTTGCCCCACTTTTTCATCCCTTTACTTCTGCAGCTTGATGCACAGGGAGCTCCAAGCTGCCCTTGCTGAGCAAACAATCCTGTCCAGGGGCCGTGGTACTACTGGGCAGGGTCTGTGCAGATCCCTGGGCCAGGTACTGTCCTCTTAAGGTACTTTTTATGTTCCCCCACGCGTTGGGATTCAAGATAAACAGACCCTGTAAGTAACACTGACACCTCTCTCCAAGTGGCTTTGGGCAAATCATTTGGCTTCTTAGCATTTCCCCTTAAGTAATGAGGGTGGGGGCAAACCTACTTCACAGAGATCTACTGAGGGGAAAAATGCTGGGAATTCATTGTTTTAGCACTGAATTCCAATGCCTGTATTCCTCTGGACTTATCTCACCTGTGCAGGGACTGCACAGCAGGGAGAAAGAAAAAAGCAGTGAGGTGACAACAGTCAATGCCTGATCAAACGAAGCTGCACCTAATTTGTTTCCATACATCTCTCAAGCTACAGCTTGTCAGAGTCACCTGAATAATCCTGGTATAATTCCAATCCATATTTCTACCCAAGAAATCGAAAATCTTTAGCATGCAATTAATACAGCTGGCAATGACACAGCACATCCTTCTGCCCTCTTGCACCAGGCAAAGTTTAATAACCAATATACCCGATGGGCTCAAATAATTTAGAGGCCATATTTATCCTCAGGAGTGGCTCTTGCTGGCTAAAGGTTTCACCACTTCCTCATAAATTTAAGGACTGAATGTGCAGGGAGGGGGAGGGGGTGCACAGGGGAAGAGATTTGTGGGAGAAATTCTGTGTATGTGAGTGACAGTTTATAATGACGCCTTCTCACAAGAAGTTGCTTTTGTGGGGTCATTTTGAAGTATTAAATTTTGATAACTCTTTAATCACTGCAGTTTAATGAGATAGAGGCAGCAGGTGAAGGGGGAATTCATCATGTCACTTCAAGTGTCTGGCTCTGTTCCTGCTGGGAAAATTTAGCGTGGCACAGTGGGCTGGAGCTCTCCTTTTGCAGCTGCAGTTCAGAAAAGGGATTTTTGTAGCCTTCTAAGAATCTTTGATTTCCCTAAAGAAACTTCTTTATGTGATCTATAGTCATCCTTCACTTCCCAAGGTAAAAAAAAAGAAAAAAAAAGAAAAAAAAAAGTGTTGTTCAAAAAAGTGCTTGGATTTAAATGTAAGTGCTTTTAGTTTTAATATTGGTCAAGATAGATTATTTTATCCTGTCGCAGTGTTTGTTGCAGGTGTCACTGCCAAAAACACATTCCTGGAATAACCACAGTGAAAGCTGCTTTCCTTTGCAGAAGGATATTGCTTGGTTATTTCTGTTCACACTGGTTTATTCCATGTGGAAAGCTTCCTGTCAAGGCAATATTGGAGCAGCTACACCTTACACCTTTCTCCAGTACCCATTTGCTTCTTGGAGAGTGTGAATCTGGACAATCTTTGGCAGTGGGAGAGTGTGTTCTTTGAGATGACATCCACACAGCCAAAAATATTCAGCCAGTTCTCACCACCCACCCTTTCTGTCAGCACCTAAATTCTTTATTTATTAATATGATGTTAAATTGTCTCAAGATACAGAAGAAGTATAATAAATTTTTTAAATTTTTACAGCAACTGCCTTCCTCTTTGTCCTGTCAGATAGGACATTAGCGGTCTGTCAAACAAAATCACAACACAACCAGATCTTCCCACCACTTAAGGAAATAAAACTAAATTTAAGGTTTCACAGTTTTCACCATCTAATAATTCTTAACCTATTCTGTTACCAACAACCTTTGGAAAAAATGGTACATATTTATAAGAGCAGGGAGGCAAATATTATGACAACTGAACTACAACTTTAGGATCACTTCTATTGAACACAGTTTGGCAATTCTTACCCTAAGTGACATCTGTGTAAATATTCCTCCTCAAACACTGACTCATTTGTTGTCTTCTACTACATCTTCTGCACTAGGCCACTGTTGCTTCCTTCCTCCTTCCTAAACCTTGTTGCAGAATTTAAAAGTGTTCAAAAAAATAAATCCCTTTAAGAATAATGTTCTGCAAAACAAAAACTGAAGATATCTTTCTCCAATTTCTTTTTAAAGCTTGAAAATACAAGACTCCTGCTGTAGGTTTTTCCTGCCTTCTTCCCCAGCACTCTCTTTTCTGCCACCTGCCTATAAACCCTCAGTATCCTGTGTGACTGCCATTGGTTCAGTGGATTCACTTCAGCTTCAGAAGGCATTAGAAGTGTGATTTTAACATCTGACCATCAGCCTTCGCTCTCTTGGAACAAACCCTTTTGTTTATCAGAAGGAGAACCTTTTAATTGTTTTATTTCAACCATTCGAAAGAAAACATTCCTTCATTAAAAGTCAGATTTCCAAAGACACTCTGAGTGCAAAACTTATTACCATTTTCTTGTCTTTTACCTATATGGTTCTCATTTTTTTTTCCTTTTTGACACAAGCAGAAAAAAATTCAGCTTCATTCCCTTTATATGCAACACTTCACAAACAGAATTGCTGAAGCCAATTAGAAGTCAGGCTTGTCATTTCCAATCCACCAACAGAAAAAGAAAGAAAGAAAGCAACACTACAGGGTAATGATGCCTATTTTAACACTGATGGCTTTTTTTGAAGAGAGGTTGAAGTGCCATTTAGGATACATATGCTCACTTGCCATTATTTTGCGTGGAATTGGTTTTAAAATGAATAAAGCCTCTTGGGTTCTCAGGAAAGAATGGTTCTTTTTCTTTCCCCCTTCTCACAAACAGCAGTTGGGTCTGTATTGTTTTTCTGAGAAGTAAGTTCTGCTCAACAACAATAATCCTTTCTATCTCACCTGCTCCTAAGGCCACCCTCCTCCTCCTTTTATCTCTTTCTCAAAATTATTGGTCCCTCACACAATCTTTCACCTTTATACCCTTTTGAAAATTGATTCCAGGCTTTCTAAAAACCTCTCCAGCTCCCACTTCAAAGCTTCAGATCAACAGAAAGGTACTGAGAGAGGACATACCTTATTCAACTTCCCACCATGGTGAATTATGGCAGAAATAGAAGCACTTCTGATTCCCTTCTTCTCTACGTAAACTCCAGTCTTCACCAGTGCCTGAATTCACACCTGTATTTTGGTCATTCCTCTCCATCTTATCCCAAAGGGATAAGGGAACTTGTGAGGCAACACTATTTTAAAACAATCTGACCAGCCCTGAGATCTGTCTGTCTCCCAGGGGTGACAACAGTCGAAACCAATCCCCAGTGAGGAACGAGAAGGTCCCTGGGGGTCAGATCCTTCATTCCCTAATGGTTTTATGGAAGGTGACTCTATCCTAGACAACTTGAAGCACTGAACTTCTCCAAAGGCTCTCCATGTCAGTGCATGGACACCCACACAGCCCTTCCCAGGAGCCACGTGGGCTGTGGAGACTGGAGGGTCTGGCAATGTTTAAAACACCTCCCCGAACAATGGGATGGCATTTCCTTCCAACTCCTACTTTCCCTCATTTTGTTTGCTTGCAGATATCAGGATTTAAAGTTCTTGGCTTCTGGTTCTTATCAGAAGTATACATTTGCTGTTGATAGCTTTTAGTGAAAGTTATTATTAGGCAACTTTTCACTTTTATCTCTTATCACTTTCTGCTCCAGAAAACCTTATCACTCCTTTCACTAAGTGTATGATAATTGGAGCTTTGCAATTACAGGTACAACACACACAGATTTAATGGATCAATTTGACAAACTGAAAGAATTCTAGTTCCCTTATCTATTTAGCATTTAAATAGTGCTTTTTCCTAATT